AAAAAAAAAAAAAAAAAAAAAAAAAAAAAAAAAAAAAAAAAAAAAAAAAAAAAAAAAAAAAAAAAAAAAAAAAAAAAAAAAAAATAATAAATGTCTTGTTAGAGGAGACAGGGGCATGGGGTGTCTCTTATAGACAATTAGGGAATACAGATATATATATATCTGAGGTAGGTATAGGTACTATGTTTATAGGTAATAATAATAATATTATACATAATAATAATAATAATAATAATAATAATAATAATAAATATATAAATAATAATAATAATAATAATAATAATAATATTAATAATAAGGGGAAAAAGGAAGAAAAAAAAGAAGAAAATAAAAAAAAAGAATTAATTAATTATAATTGTCCTTTTTCTTTACTCTCTTATGCTGTTGATTATTGGGGTGTTAATTTTATTGATACTTCTCCCCTTTTTCCTCTCCCTATCTCCCCTACTAATTATGGTAAGGCAGAGGAGATAATAGGGAAATGGATTGCTGCTAGGAGCAGCAGCAGCAGCAGCAGCAGCAGCAGCAGCAAGAGCAGCAACAGCAGCAGCAGCAGCAGCAATTGGTGCTGCTGCAGCAGAATCAATAGCAGCAACGGGAGAGACAAACTCATCATTGCTGCCACCGTCGCACCAAATGTCTATAAAGCTATTAGGCAGCAGCAGGGGTAAGACTCTCCTGCTGCTGCTGCTGCTGCTGTTGCTGCTGCTGTTGTTGCTGCTGTTGTTGCTGTTGTTGCTGTTGCTTATGTGGCTGTTGCTGCTGCTGTTGATATATATACATCTATTGTTGCTGCTTCTTCTGCAACAGCTGCTGCATGGTTTGTTGCTGTCCCTGTCTGCTGTATGATGTGTGCTGCTGCTGCTGCTGCTGCTGCTGCTGCTGCAGGGAACTAAGCAGCATAAACAGCAGCAGCATGCGTATAACTTGTGAGGATATACTTGCTGCAGCAGAGGACAGCATGCGTCGTCTGCAGGTGTCTTATGTAGATCTGCTGCAGCTGCAGTGGCCATTAAGATATACACCCCAACAGGAGACAGGAGACAGTCATGAAATACTCTTTGATATACCTGTAACCCTAAACCCTAAACCCTAAACCCTAAACCCTAAACCCTAATCTTAGAGGATATAGTGGCTAATAGATAGAGAGAATTTGTTTGTTTTTCTCCTTTTCTTTCTTTTTTATTAATTATTTTGTCTCCTCTTATCCCTTTTTCCTCTATTATAAACAAACACCCGTTTATTTGCTGCTGCTGCTGCTGTTGCTACTGCTGTTGCTGTTGCTGCTGTCTCCTTTCTTGCATGCATGCAGACAGCAAAGGCAAGAGAATTACCTGATGGAGACGAAGGGTTTGATGTATTTCTTGATGCTGTTGAGGTTCTTCTTGCTGAGGGAAAGGTAAACACCCCACACACGATCCCACACGATCCCACACGATCCCAGCGATCCCACGATACCACCCCACACACGATCCCACACGATCCCACACGATCCCACACGATCCCACACGATCCCAACGCAAAGCAGACTCGCCGATCCCCTCAGCAGCAATTCGATTAGCAGCAGCAACACCACCACGCCTACCGCAGCAGCACCACCACCCCGACTACAGCAGCAGCAACAGCAGGAGCAGCAGGAGCATGTATTATATATCTTGTGTCTCCCTGTCTCTCTGTGTCTACTCCTCCTCCTCCTCCTCCTCCTCCTCTCCCTCTGTCTGTCTCCTTTTTCTTTCTTAGATTCGTGCTTGGGGTTTATGTAACGAGACAGTGTATGGGTTATTACGTTACTGTGAATTAGCAAAAAGAAGAAGAATTCCTTTTCCTTCTTCTTGCCAATTAAATTATAATTTATTATTAAGAAATAATTTAGAAAAACAATTCGTTGAAGCTGTTAGACCACAAAATACAGGTCAATAATAATTAAACCCTAAACCCTAAACCCTAAACCCTAAACCCTAAACCCTAAACCCTAAACCCTTGATCGTAAACCCTAAACTTTTGAGAGGAAACTCTAAACCCTTGACCGTAAACTGGGAACAACTCTGGATAGTAAACCCTAAACCCTAGAATAGAAGGGAGGTAGCTAAACCCTCGTATAAGGAACAAGACCACATAAACCCTAAACCCTAAACCCTAATTTTTTTTTCTTTTTTTTTTTTTTTTATTCAGGTGTATCTATAATTGCATATGGTGCATTAGCTGGCGGTTTATTAACAGGAAAATATTTAGAATGGTTAGAGTACCCAACAGCAGGAAGATTAATTCAATTCCCTACTTATATGAAAAAACTTAAGTAGGCTCCTGCTGCTGCTGCTGCTGCTGCTGCTGCTGTTGCTGTTGCTGTTGCTGTTGCTGTTGCTGCTCATGTTGCTGATGGTGCGGCTGATGTTGTTTCTGTTTCTATTGTTAGTTGCTGGTACTGATATTCTTATATTCTTGCTATTGCTGCTGCTGCTGCTGCTGTTGCTGCTGCTGCTGTTGCTGCTGCTGCTGTTGCTGCTGCTGCTGCTGCTGCTGCTGCTGCTGCACCATCGACCGTAGTGACCTTCTTTCGATAGGAAAGTACAATAATATATTATTGATTATATTTATTAATTATATTAATTATATTTATTAATTATATTAATTATATTTATTAATTATATTTATTATTATTAATTAAATATAATATATTAATTAAATATATAATATTGTAAAGAGTCTAAACAAAGCTGAAAAAAATGGGCAGCAAAAACGAGTCGCTGCACCTGGGCCTAGATACAGCAGCAGCTGCTGTTCTTGCTGCTGCTGTTGCTGTTCCTGCTGCTGCTGCATGCAGCAGGAAAGGCTTAGTTGACAGTGCCAGCGAATATTGACTCTATTGCAGCAGCAGCAGCAGCAGCACACGTCGCTGCTGCTCCTGCTGCTGACTATCCTGTATCTCCTGCTGCTAATTTTCAAAAACAGGAGTAGCTGCAGCTACTGCTGCTGTTGCTGCTGCTGCTGCTGCAGCAGCAGCAGCAACAGGTTGCTGCAGCAGACGGAATGCCTTAGTATGCAGGCAGTCCCTCAACGCTGTTAGTCTAACAAGCGAACATGCAGCAGCACCTAGCGGTGCTGGTGCTGCTGCTTCTGCAACAGCTGTTGCTGCTGCTGTTGCTGCTGCTGTTGCAGCTGCTGCATTTGCTGCTGCTGCTGCTGCTGATTATAGTAACCGGCGCAGCACCTCCAAGGCATTCTCCGCAGCAGAAAAGAAGACCGAAGCCTGCAGCAACAAGACACATACAATAAAAAAAATAAAAAAATAAATAAAATAAATAAATAAATAAATAAATAAATAATAAATAAATAAATAAATAAATAAATAAATAAATAAATGAATAAAATAAAAAACGGCAAATGCCCCAACAGCCGAAACTGAATCAGTCAGTTTGTTGGTGTTGCTGCTGCTGTTACTGCTGTGTTACTGCTGCTACTGCTGCTGCTGCTGCTGCTGCTACTGCTGCTGCTGCTGTTGCTGCTGCACTATAAAGGGTTGAATTGTTAAGGTTTGCTTACCACTACAGAATTGGATCCCTCAGCAGCATACCGATCAGCCGCTACCCTGCAGCACAACACATGCAGCAGCAGCAGCAGCAGCAGCAGATCAATGACTGCACCTGATGTTGCTGCATCAGTAGCAGCAACTGAAAAGGAGAGGCAACAAGAGAACTGCAGCAGGAATACAGCAGCAGCAGCAGCAGCAGTGCAGCAGCAGCAGCAAGTGCTGACCTTTTCAGGCTCTCAATAGCAGCAATAGCCCTAGGAATTCCCAGAAGTCGACGAGTTGCTGCTTCCTGCAGCAGCAGCAGCAGCAGCAACAGCAGCAGCAGCAGAAGTTGCAGCAGCAGCAGCAACAGATGTTGCAGCAGCAGCTGTATATGCGAAGCGCGTGTAAGAAGGAGGAGGAGGAGGAGGAGGAGTACGAGCAAGACAGTAGTATTCATGCTGTTTGCTGCCTAGGGTTTAGGGTTTAGGGTTTAGGGTTTACGTACTTTAAGCAGCAGCAAAGAGTAGACAGGAAAAGAAGGAGAAAGAGCAGCAACAGCAAATAAATGACGAGAAGCATCCAGCAGCAAAGGGCTCACCAACAAACCCTAATAACACAGCAGCAGCAGCAGCAGCAACAGCAGCAGCAGCACATGCAGCAGCAACAAATGCAGCAACAGCAGCAACAAGAAGTACACACTTCTACCTAGCCAGGCACCTAGGCAGACAGCTAGCTAGCTACTTGGGTGTCTGGCTAGCTAGCTATCTAGCTAGCTACGCAGATACCCGCCTTGCTGGTTACATAAGTGTGTCGGCAGTTGGCTAGCTAGCTAACTAGTTGGCTGTCCATCTAGCTAGCTAGTTAGCTAGTTAGCTCCCCATCTAGCTAGCTGGGTGGCTAGCTGGCTAGCTAGCTAGCTAGCTAGCTAGCTAGCTAGCTAGCTAGCTAATAGACTTACGGGTACGAATGCGAGTCTAACAGTTTCTCTTTTCTCAAAGAGTTGCAAAAATCCAATTTCTACTTCCTCTACACCTACAAGACTGCTGCTGCTGCTGCTGCTGCTGCTGCTGGTGCTGCTGCCGCTGCTCTTCTCCCCCTCCTGCCGCTGCTGCTGTTGCTGTTGTTGTTGCTGCTGCTGCGCGCTTGCCTCTGAAGGTGCTGGCGACGTAGCCGCATCGGTTGCAGCCCCAGGAACAGCAGCACTAGCAGCAGTAGGTGCTGCTGCTGCTGCTGCTGCTGCTGCTGCTGCTGCAGTAGCTGCTGCAGTAGCTGCTTGTCTTTGTTTTCTTTTTAATGAGGATACAATAAGAGCATCATTAACAATTGCTGTTTTTAGCATTTGGTGCTGCAGTAGACGTCTATGCATAGGGGTACCACACTTCGTACCTGGCAGACACAGCAGCAGCTGCAGCAGCAGCAGCAGCAGCAGCAACAGCAACAGCAGCAACAGCAGCACAAGCATAGAAAGCAGGCAATAGGATAACATGAAGAAAAGAACATCAGCAGATAATGCAGCAGCAGCAGCAGCAGCAGCAGCTGCTGCTGCTGCTGCTGCTGCTGCTGTGTAATAACTAAGGTCGATAATTTATTTACAAGGGTTTAAGAGGGTTTAGGGTTTAGGTATTTTTTAAGGGTTTAGGGTTTAGGGTTTAGGGTTTACGAGTTTGCATAGTAGCAGCTCAGTGTTTGCTGCTAGCAGCAACCTGCAGCAAACATCTTCGTTATTAATAGACAAGAGAGCAACACGTAATTTAGTACAAAACATAGCGCATGCAGCAAGAGAGGTAGCACCTCCTCCTTTTGCTGCTGCTGCTGCTGCTCCTCCTCCTCCTGCTGCTCCTGTTGCAGGGGTGTGCGGATCGGGTAAGGGTGTATCAGCAGGAGTACCAATAGACATAAGAGCAGGGGAGGCAGCACCCCTATGTACATCTATTGCATCTGCTGCTGCTGCTGCTGCTGCTGCTGTTGTTGCTGCTGCTGCTGTTGGTCGAGCTGCTGGTGGTGGTGTTGCAACAGCAGCAGCAGCTGCTGCTGCAGCTGCTGCATTTAATGCATGCGTACACCTCGTCAGCAGCTGCAGCACCTGCTGCATGCATCCCTTAGGAGGCACAGCTTGCTGCTGCAGTTGTTCTTGCTGCTTGAGTATAGCCTTAGCGAGTGCAGCAATACGTTGCTGCTGCAGTTGTTGCTGCTGCTGCATTTGTTGCTGCGTCTGTTGTTGCTGCTGCTGCTGCAGTAGCATCTGCTGCTGCTGCTGCTGCTGCTGCGGCTCTGTTGCAAAGAAGGTAGTAAGACTAGCCAATAAGCCAAACCATGCATAGCCAGCAAAGGGAGGTAAATAGGCAGAAAGAAAGGAAGAAGGGCAGCAAATAGATAGAAGAGAAGCTTCGTAACCTATTAATACTCCTCCTCCTCCTCTTGCTGCTGCTGCTGCAGCTGCAGCTGCTGATGTTGCTGCTGCTGATGCTGGAGATGCTGTTGCGGTTCCAACGGATGGTGATACGCTGGGGTTGCCGTCCGACGGCTCCTGCTGCTGCTGCTGCTGCTGTTGCTGCTGCTGCTGCAGCTGCTGCTGCCGCAGACACTCAAGGGCTATAGACACTACTCGTGTATGGCCAGCAGCAGAAGCACCATCTAGCACGTGCTGCAGCACACGAGATAGAGGGATAGCTAACTGGCGCCTCTGGTGCTGCTGCTGCTGCTGCTGCTGCTGCTGTTGCTGCTGCTGCTGTTGCTGTTGCTGCTGCTGCAGCAAGTCACCAACACTGCCACTACGAGGTCTACCCAATGGAGGCAACTCGCTGCTAGATAGAGACCTCTTAGACCGCAGATAGCCGCTCATGCTGCTGCTGCTGCTGTGGCTGCTGCTGCCGCTGCTGTGGCTGCTTCTGCCTGAGCCAGGAGCAGCAGCACTTCCTGCTGCTGCTTCTGGGTGAGCAGCACTCCTCTGCGAGCGGACAGGTGGGAAGCCAACGCATGCACCAGCTGCTGCTGCTGCTTGTGCTGCTGCTGCTGCTGCTGGGTGCCGCACAGGCGTATAGGCAACGGAAGTTTCTTGCTCGCTGCTGTCATCAAAGATGCTGCCCTTAAACTCTCGAGCCCCTGCTGCTGCTGCTGCTGCTGTTGCTCCAACGCCTGCTGCTGCTGCTGCTGCTGATGGGCCTTCATGTGCTGCCGCGTGCTGCATGCTGAATGACTCAGAAACATATCTGCTGCTGCTGCTGCTGCTGCTGCTCGCAACCTCAGCATGACTGGGCCGCAAACCAGACAGCTGCTGCTGCTGCTGCTGCTGCAGTCCCGTCTGAGCGCCTGCAGCAAGTGCAGCAGCAGTTGGCTGCGATTCAAGCAAAAACTTCATTAGCCCAACATATGGCGCAGATAGACCTGCAGAACAGCAACAGCAACAGCAGCAGCAGCAACAGCAGCAAAAGAAATGGATTCAGCAAAGAGTATAACAACGATGTGATGCAGCAGCAGCGGCAGCAACAGCAGCAGCTGGAGAGCCACAGGTGGTTGTGCGTCAGCAGAAGCACCTGGTGCAGCAGCAGGCCGCCTCATCTGCTGCTGCAGCGGCAAGTACAGCAACAGCAGCAGCAGCAGCAGCAGCAGGGCTTACCAAGCAGCGTAAGGCCTAAGAAGTGGCGAACTGCTGCATCATCATCTAATGGGCTAAAGGAGTTGTGCTGCTGCTGCTGCAGCAGCTTGCTGCTGAGACACCGCGTCAAGGACCGCAGCACGGGAGGCGCCAGCAGCAGCAAAGATATATCCAGTAAATCCCCGCTTGACTGAGGAAACAACAGCAGCAGCAGCAGCAACAGCAGCAGCAAGCGTTGCAGCAGCAGCAGCAGCAGCAACGTGTGTTGTACGAGAAACAGCAAGCATTGCAGCAGAAGGACCAAAAGCAGCAGCAGAAACAGCAGCAGGACCAAGAGCAGCAGCAGGCACTTGCCGCTGCATCCTGGCATCAGCAACAGGCAAGCAGCAACAGCAGTAGCAACAGCAACAACAACAGCAGCAGCAGCAGCAGCAAGTATTACCTTAACCCTGCAGCCACGGAGTTCGTCCCTTGCTTCCCTCGCTAGCAGCAGCTGCTGCATCTGTGGTGAGTCTTCATCTTCTATTCCCACTCTGCAGCAGCAGCAGCAGCAGCAGCAGCAGCAGCAGCAGCAGCAGCAACAGCAGCAACATGACAAGCCACTCCACCTTACAAGCAGCAGCAACAGCAGCAGCAAAAACAGCAGCACCAGCAGCAGCAGTAGCACCACCACCACCAGCAACACAACCAGCACCAGCAGCACCAGCACCAGCAGCAGGAGCAGCAGCAGCAGCAGGAG